TCCCGACTCTGCATCCACGTTCTGCCGCAGCCACCCGTCCCGCAGTGTGTACTGACAGCTGTCCCTCCTCCAGCTCCGTGTCTCAGACTTTACTGCGGTTCATTGTAAAAACTTTGTACAATGAACCGCAGTAAAGTCTGTGACACACACGGAGGGACAGCTGTATGTAGCGGCGTGTGTGCTGTGAGGGGATCCGAATACATCAGGCTGCTTCCTGTCATTGACGCTGTCACTGTTAGCCTGGCGGAGGCGGAGCCTATACACGTCTCTGCAGGCACCCACAGCCACATCCTGGTATGTGGGTCAGCGCGAGTGAGGATCCTCCTCTCCTGTGACCCCTCCGCTGGCCGCCAAGGAGAGGTGCTGCAGCCTGGATGTAGGTAAGGTTGGGGAGTCTGTGGGTGATGGCTGGCTTGGGGGGATTGTAGCTGGGTGGTATTCGTTGACCACTGATATATATAATTATATGTTATATTGCCGCCCACACAGTACTGGTGACCCTCGGCGTAACTCCAACCTCCATTAATATTAATGAAATAAATACAGATACGTATTTAATGTAATAATTATATGTATATCAACGTCCCCCGGTCCGCGGCGATAGAAAGGTTGGGGAGCACTGCTCTATGTGATAGCAATGACATTAAGTGTAAAAAAAAAAAAAAAAACATAAAAAGAGTTTAAAAAAAATAAGTCACATATAAAAGAAAAAAAAAAAGAAAAAACATTTTTAAGTCCCCCTCCCCCACGTATACGCACATATAAAAGTAAACATGCGTCCGGTGCACCAGCGCGCGAAAACGACAATTGCGGTACACGCGTTACATATCGCCGCGAACGTCGCAGTGAGAGCGATCATTCTCGGCCCGTCAATCACCGATAACACGAGACTGATGAGGCGGTAAAACCTTTTAAAGCGTCGCCTATGGGAAATTTGGGGTATTATCGTTTTTTGAGGTTTCGCGCGCGCACTCAATTTTAAAGCTTGACATGTTTGGTGTCTATTTACCCGACGTGACCCCGTCTTTTATATTTTACCAAAAAATTGGGTAATAATAAATGTTTTATAACATAACGTGGGGAAACGTTGTTTTTTTTTTTACATTTACAGGTTTTTTTTAATTCGGTAATTTCTCCTGAATATAGTAAAATATAAAACCCGCCAGTGGTGATTAAATACCCCAAAAGAAAGCTCTATCTGTCCCCCCAAAAAATGGTATAAAATTCATATCAGTACAGCGTTGCATGACGGAATAAATGTCAGTCAAAGTACCGCAGCGCTGAACACTGAAAAATGGCCGGTACAGGAAGGGGAGGGAACACCGCGGTCAGCAAGGGGTTAAATATATTCTTGGCTGATCGCCAGTTCCGTGCGCGGTATAACGAGTCGCCCATGCGCTGTAGAAGTGGAGCTTGTGAACATCTGATTGGCTGGGAGAGGTCAGGTGTCAAACCTGCACATTTTGCTTTCACGTTCCTGCTGAGCGAATGAGAAGCTTCTAACTACATTGCGGAAGTTACTCAGTTTTGTTACCAGTGGCGTAACAATCACCAGGCAGCCGCTGCGGGGCCCGGGGCACAGTGGGGCCCGGCCAGATGCCGAGCGGGCCTCACTGGGTCGCTATGG